GTGTTTTTGTATGACCAACTCCAGTCAAATGAGGTCATTGACCTCTATAGGGGACTCGGAGTCGGTCGGTCGGTCGGGAGTTTGGGGCTACTCCCAGGCAGGGCTGGGCTTGGTGGTGGGCTAGAGTGGGCTGGAGAGGGCACCCAGAACTCCTTAGAAGATTAATGATCCAGAAATAAACCTTAAACCCTCGGATCCTTGGAGCCGACATCGGAGCCTTGCATACCAAATTGAAAATCTGGACCACTTGTCAAAACCTCTGGTGGCCCTCCGTCATTGATCCTCTTGGAGTTTGAAGGCTCATGCCTCAAAAACATCCATGTTGGGCATGACCCTTCAAACCAGAATCCCTCCACTCGGATCCCACATAGAGCCGACTTTGAGCCGACATCAAGGGTCATGTTCTTGGGTCATTTGGAATTTTCTGGGCAACTTTTCACAGAGAATTCCAAAACTCTTGCAGCCCTCTGTCTGAACTGATCCCCTTGGAGTTTGAAGGATCATGCCTCAAAAACATCGTATCCATGTTGGGCATGACCCTGGAAACCTAAATCCCTCCGCTCAGAGCCGACATCGAACCCACGTCGCACCGACCTCGAGCCGATGTCAAGGGTCATGACCTCTGAAAGTAATTAAGATTTTTACCTGGGAATGAACAAAAATGAAAAGGCTTCTCATAGACCCTCATCTTGTTTGCATGACCCTTGAAACCAGTCATGAAACCATCGGAGTCAACGTCGATGGGTTGAGCTGAGGGTCATTAGGTTCATGAAAATGTTCAATTCGATGTTTTGAGCTTTATAGCTCAGTGATCACATGCGCATGCTTGATGGAGGGTTCACAGACCCAAGAAAACTTTGGGGGTCACTTCCAAGTGGACCAAAACAGGTTCTAGATCCAAAAGTGACCCCTGATCCGTTCGAATCGAACCGACGTCGCACCGACCTCGAGCCGACGTCAAGGGTCATGAGCTCTGAGACCCACTGGGATTTTTACCTGGGAATGAACAAATATGAAAAGGCTTCTCATGGACCCTTCATCTTTTTTGCATGACCCTTGAAACCAGTCATGAAACCATCGGAGTCGACATCGATGGGTTGAGCTGAGGGTCATTAGGAACAACGAAAATGTTCAATTCGATGTTTTGAGCTTTATAGCTCAGTGATCACATGTGCATGCTTGATGGAGGGTTCACAGACCCAAGAAAACATTGGGGGGTCACACTTCCAAGTGGACCAAAACAGGTTCTAGATCCAAAAGTGAACCCTGATCCGTTCGATTCGATCGACGTGGGTGGAGGTGGGTCCATTGGATGGGGGAGGTTCATTTTTTGATTCCCTGTGACTGCACATGGCAATGAGATATGCTACAAACAATGGTGGAACAGTCGACATGATGTTTGGATTCCAATACCGATTGATCAATCGGATCAAGTGAGATCCTAGACCTGCCACTTCTGGCCATGGATCTCACTATCCACCCTTGAACTGATCCATCCACACCAGATGGTTTCAAAAACAGTTCCAAAAGGTATATGGTGAGCAGCCTGGTTGGCTGACAGCTGGCATGGTGGGGCCACATGTCACAGGGATATCTAAACCAAGAACCAAGTGGGTGGTTGGAAGGGATGGGGTTAGACCAACACCTGTGTGGACTGCGCTGGCCGATATCAAAACAACCCCAAATCCAGAACCATCCAGAACCCATGAGCTGGCCTGGGCCTCCTTTGATGTCACTCTCCGGTGACCGAAGACACAAATCCAGTCTCTGCAGAAGAGGAAGTTGGTGTGCTTCTTGAATGTTTTCGCATCCAGGCCCTTCTCCGCATCCACAAAGCTGAACTCTGTGGGAATCTGGATACCAGCTCCAAGGTCCTTGTAAAACCATACTCCCAAAAGACCAGAGTAAAGACCAGATATGACCAGATCCATACGGGTTGACCCTCATTAATCTCAGCGCCATTGCCAAGCATTGCCAGGCGAAAGCAAAGAATTCGGTTCCGGTGGCCACAGAAAGGGTGGCTTGTGGGATGGCAAGCGGCTAAGCCACGAACCGCAGTAGAGCTAGAACAGGGCGCCCTGAACAACTCAGGAGACCTAGGAGTGAAGACCCAAAAGATCAAGGTCAAAACATGTTTCCTGTTTCAAGGGGCACCCTGTTCGGTCAGGACAACCCACTTACTTGGCTGGGTCAAAACCAGGCGTCGCTGCTTGGCGCCGACATCGATCGATTCGGATGGGTGGATGGATGAGGGCAGCTTTTTTGGAAATACCCCTTGAAGAGTGAAAGGTCCACACTCCACGGGACTGGGTGTTGCGTGCCCAACATCCATTCTCCTCGGACATGGTGCGTTCATGGTTTTGTGCTCTAAGAAATCTGTAGAACTACCAACAAGTCAATGACCTCGTAAAACTTGTCCATATAAGATATCTAGGATGGAGCTGTATTCCAGCAAATTGAATGGAGGTGGCTCAAGAGCAAAAGTTGCCATGCAACCACCCTTTGGTTGCTGACTAACATCCAGAGATGCTCCAAGTGTGCTGTCAAGATGCCATACCCTTCTTCATCATCTTCTGATACTTCTTCTCCTAGGCTGATCTCTCAGACAACGGCAAAGCATCAAACCTAGGTGGACAAGTTGGGTCATGGCTCCTACTTTGTGGCGAAAGCCTGGAACTCCAGGGCGCTGTTGGAGTGGCTGCGTGATTATGCCTTAAAGGCAGCCATGAGGGACCTGCCAGGTCCAGGTGATGATACTTGGTAAAACTGGAGGGGCGCAGATCTTTTTAGGTACATGAACAGCTGGATCAGGGTCAGGGTAGACCACCCGCACCTAGACCAGCGCATATTGGACTCACCCGCTTCAGGACCGAACGCTGGGCAAGTGGCTTCAAGTGGAGGTCCAGGCTGGCAGGCAAGCAACCGCATGTGGCCAAATGACCCCTTGCAGGTGATGAATCCACTGGCTTCGTCACTTGGTCTTCAAAATGAGTTTGCCAGCTGGGGCTGTTGGTCATGAGGTCTGTTTCTGAGATGATGTGTCCAACCTCTCCTTGCCCAAGGCAAGCTCTTTGCAAGTGGTTTGGCCTGTGTGAGAGATCTGGACCGTTCTTGCACCATAGCCTGAAGTGGTGGGGGGTGGCAGGACATGTTCAGTTCCAATGTTCTTTCACCGATTGGGTGCCCTTTTCAGGTTTTCACTTCATTTCCATTCAAGCACGCCAAATGGCAGGTGGCTAAGCCAAGAACTGTGGTAGGATGTGGTAGGCATTGTCTTCCTGGCCCTTAGGAAGGCCCCGCTTTTGTCACCATCTGACCTATAGATCAGAGCAACCGTCACAAACAACCAAGAAGCAACACGGCTAGAACGGCTATATGTTTTCCAGTGAAGCTTCCCTCGCACGGAACCAGTCCACTCAGAAAATGCGACCCTCCACTTCAGTTGAGAGTTTTTTCACGGGTCGATCGAGGTTTTTCGCAGTCAAGATCGATTTTCGTGGTCAACATGTGGTCAACATTTGTCACCTGTGTGCTGTCTATGTTCAGCACAACTCAGTGAAACAGCAATTGAGCATCAATCAAAAGATCGTACTCTTCCTCTCACAATCACTCAGAAATACTGTATTGGGACGGACATAAAATACCCCTTAACTTCTTGCCAGCACTGCAGAATCTCCAATTCTCTTCCCACTCCCAGAACAAGATGACCTCCAGGGCTGTTCTGGAACAACCTGGTGGCCACAAGGAGGGCCAAGCTTCATTGGGAAAAATCTTGATTGTGGCTCAGAAACATTCGGGACTCCTCCACTGCCAGGCCAGGGGCCATCTTCCTGCTATAGAAGTGTCTTTCAGCGCGATCAAAAAAACCCTGGACACACCCATCTGCTGTTGTGCCAGCAAACGCAGTTTTCCTGAATGCTCAAAATAATAGCCTGCCTTTCCAACGCAAAAACAAACTGAAACCCCCAACATCTTCAAAAATGGCGGCCCGAAAGTTCTTCCCTCTCCGGCACCTTGTTCTGAATTTGGATGGCAAGCGGCCAAGCCAAGAACCGCGGCTAGGAACCAAGAATTTGCAGTTGGATGGCAAGCGGCTAAGCCAAGAACCGTGCTACGTAGCATCACTAGCATGAATGGAGTTAGACTTGCCTTAAAATTGTTTTTCCTTCGCATTTCACTTGTGGCAGGATCGATATGGATGTGGCGGGGCGACGATGACATGGCAAGGACTGGAAGTTTTGACATCTTCTGATGGCAAGCGGCTAAGCCAAGAACCGCAGCTAGGACTATAGAATATGCAGTGAACACGTGAAGGTTCCCATACAACATCACTCCAGGAGGTAACGTACCGTGATTTAATAATGAGCTTGGTAACTGTTTTGAGTGCTTTTTCATCGATTTGTGCAGGATCTATGTGGGCTCTGGTGGCGACGCCAGTGTGGTTGAGACAAAAGGGCGTTTCTTCCGACAAACGCGATGACCTCGTAAAACTTGATCGTTCTCGGATGACCTCGTTAAACCAGTACTTCGGGCTTGCAGGGATATATTATATATATAATGTGTTTTTCCCACGTGGCTGACAAAGCAACCTGCTACCAGTAGCTGGTCAGATGTCAACTTCTGCAGGCTCAGGTGGCCTGAAGAGAGTGGGGAGCATGGTTTGTCCTCCAGCTTCTATATATATATATATAGAGAGAGTATTGTTATTACTATTGTATATATAAATACAACACATAGAAAAGTATATATATACATACGTACAAATTTTATTCTATAATATTCTATATAATATACATAACGACACGTGCATAGTACGTGTATTTATAACATATGCGATGTATATACAGTATATATACAGTATACAGTATATAATATGACCTGATAGTTTAAACATATGACATCTTCTTCCCTCCCTAAGATTCTTCGAGGCGGATCTGCTCGTCAGCGAAGCTACCACACCGTGACCTCGGGGAGCGTCGGCCGACGTAAATGTGTCGAAGAACTGAAAGACCTGCGCTGACGGCGTAGAAGTGGTTCGGTGGCAACATATAAAGTTATTCTTTTCTGAGAGACTCTCGGACTCGCAGATCACTAGACTAGACCCTCGGCCTCCCTGGGTCGAAAACACATCCGCAGCCTGGTCTGCAGGCTTTCCAAACCTGGAAGGAGTCGCGTCGCACGCGGGTCACACGCCTCGCACGCGGCACCCCAAGGACACACTCGGTTCCCGAAAGACTGAAGGGATAGAGACCGTGAAACACGGAAAGACCTCAGCTAGATGGCCCCATGCGTCATACCTCTATGTCATCATGATTCATCATCTCTATCTTCCCGTTTTTGGTGACGCTCCAAACAAAAAGTCACAGGAAAGGGATACAAGGGATTCTATCCAATCTCCTCAAGAAGGTGCTTCATCTGTGGGCATCGGGTCTCCGTCCCCGTCCTATTTCGCGATATTTTGCAGACATGTTCACATTCCCTGCAAAGCTTTTGGGAGCCACCCTGGCCTTTGCCTGGTGCAAGAATTACTTCTCTAGGGCCAGTCTTCTTAACGAGCATTGCAGCATGGGCTTTTCTTCTTACATAATGAGCTTCCACTTGAACTCTGTGATCTTTGGGGGTATCACAGGTTGTCTTCTGCAAACTCAAACAAAACACATCTAACCCAAAGGACAGCACCATTTTCCTTCAGCGCCCCGTTCCAAACTCCATCGTTCAGCTTGCCACTCCAAACCACCAACCAAACCGCCAACCACCCGCCGCCCGGTGGGTGCCTTTGGCCGTCAGCCGCAATGTGGAGACCTCTCGGCGCATGTTCTCCACATTCACCTTCAACCGATCGTTCTCCTGCGCCCCGTGGGCAGACAGACCCCATGTGTGGTCGGGGCCGCGGGGCCCTTCACTCCACTCTGCCACACGAGGGAACCTCGACGTCGATCGCGGGAGGGGTTGGTTCGCTTGAAAGCGAGCGCTGTCCCGCAATGGAGAGAAAGAAGAAATCAAGACATAGATTATAGATCAAATAAATGCATTTATGTAAACATGTTAATACATCCAGTAACGCGTAGATATTCATGTATGTTCTTCAATGTGCTCTGTCAAGGTGCTAGCAAATCACTGAGTGACAACCAGCTGGAAGACGAGTCCGTCTTGTTCCAGCACCGAACGAGTCTGCTGATTATGAGAACTGACTCTTCACTGGATCCAGCGGGAGCACACCATTTACCGACTGACTCCCTCAGTGTCCCTGGAAAATCGTGGTCAATCTTTATCCACCTCTCGGATGTTCTTCGGAAAACCAACCCCACTGATCAAAGGTCTTCAGGTCATCCACTGACTGGGTAGGCTGAGAAAAGGGATGAATTGGTCGGTGACCTGATAGCGCCCGCTGATCTGCTCCGGCCGCTTCCCTGAAACTCGGTGTGCTCGACTGGGACGGACTGCGGGTTGCCAGGCATCCCGGGATGCCAGACTGTCAACCGCCACAATGTGGTGATCAAGGGCAAGTACCAAGTACCGTGCTGATCATTCCAAACTAGCATGAAACAACAGCTGCTCCTCCTTGTACTGATAAATCCTCTTTCGCAGTTCTTGTGCAATCACCACCAGCTGCCCCTGCAATGCCAAGCCCAAGCTCAGGAGAAGCAAGAGGCTGGCGATCCAGAGACATTTCCAGTTGAAGCAAACCAAGTCCAAGGTCCACAGCACAATGGCCACCTAAGAGTCGTTCGGAAGTCGGTCCAACTCAAAAGGACGCGTGAACCTTCTCCTGCTTGTAGAGGCAAGGCGTGCTTCCCAAGGCAAGGCAAGCCGTGGTCGAAATGGGCAAACGCACCAACGTATCAGGCTAGGAACTAGATGGCCTCCTACTGTGGGCGGGGGGTCTGGAAAAACATCAGATCCCTCAAACATGTCTCGGATGAGATTCAGATCAGAACCCCTCCCAAACGAAGAGAGCCATTGACAGCTCAACACCCCGCCTTTGGCCCAGGTAAACCACTGCATGCTCCTATGTAACACCTCGTGGTGGTATCCACTGCTCGATTCGTCGCCCGAGCCACCAGGGAGAGTAGAATGGCCATCAAATGCAGCCTTCCCCAGATCTGCAAAAGCCCCAGCGTAAACCAAGGTTTCATCTTGTCGCGCTCCTCAGGTCCACTCTCCTGCGGACAAAATCCGGGGGAGGACCCAAAGGTCTGCGAGTCCAGTCCCCGAAAAGTCCAGTCCCTAATTGGATTCCGAAGGTTTTGGTGGAGTTCTCACTGCAGTTGACTCACAAAAGCATGAGACTGTGAGTCCGGCTGACCGGGATGCCGACGCCCGGGACCGGTCAGTCGCACCAAAGAACCGTTCAGAACTTTTCATAGTTCGATCGGCCCAATCAAAGCAATAGGTTGGTCAGGAACAGTACACGAAGAGTCTTGGATTCTTGGCTTGGGTCTAAAACCGCATGGCCTTTAAAGAACATTCTACTGCATCTTAAATCTCCAAAGCAGTGAGTGCATCTTTGAACCCGCAAATTATCCTCTCCAAACATGTCCAAGTCATCTATATAATTGTCTACATATGTCTACATAATATATCCGCCGACCCCTTGCGACTGCAAGGGGAGCGCGCGAGAGAAGGTACGAGTAGGTTGTTGTTGGAAAGCAACGTTAGACACTGTGGGCTCGCAGAAGAAAGGGCGTGAGAGACGTGGCATAGCAGGCTCCTCAGATGTTCCAGGAGGTGCAGGGGCAAGGCTTGCCATTGGGTTGCGTGTGTTGTTCTAGAGGTCCGAAAGCGGAAGAAAGGGTGTGCTCGAG